CTATCTATAGGACAGAAAACCCTTTTTTATTTGGCTTTCTTAATCCAGATGTGTAACAATATCTAATAACTAACTATACCCGGTCGCAGGGGACCTTTCAATTAGGTATACTGGCCATAGTTTGGATGAAAGTGCGCCGCTTTGATTTCCCCATTTTTTTATAAATTGCTTTTCGTAATGATAAGAAGATATTTCAATTTCATATGCAGTTCAATCTGATTCTTAAGTTATCATTTAAAAGAGGTTGGTTTCAGACAACGGTTGTCTGCACATAACGCTGGAGACTCGAATTCCAATGAAAATGTCAGTAAAGTTTGCGTTTTTGAATCCACTGATGCTTCGCTTCCATAGATTTCATTTTTGTGTTGTAGTACCTTCACTACAAGTTTGCCCCCAATTTCAAAGGCTTTCAACATTTATCTGCGTTTATAAGTATTACCTTTTTCACAGCTTCAAAGGATCCCATCTCCAATTTCGCCACAAGCGTCCCTGGTCCCTGCGTTTTTCTCCAAGAGAAATTGTTTGAATAAACTGTGATCATTGGGATTCTGACCTTTTCACCCTAATAAAGCAAGCGTTAGATCAACGCTTAGCAGTTAAATGGTGAGGAATCTTGGTTAAATGGGACAGACCTCAAGCTTGAATGAATTATTTCAATGTAAGAAGGTGACTTGTGATAAAGGGGTCGATATAACTAAGAAGCTCAATGAAGAATAACGTTGTTGACAATGACAATAGCCAGTTTCTTTTAGCCGATGATGATTGATACTGATATGATTTTCATTCCTCCATCTGCATTTAACATTATGACGACGATAACCAATAATAAACATTGGTAAAATCCAACTAGTGGTCTATTATCAATGCTACGTTCTGATTGGTTGAGCTACTACTAGGCTATATGTTATAGCCCACTAGTAGCGAAAAGAGCGGGCTTTTTGGCGGCAAAAAAGGATTAAAGTATAGCTTGAACTAGCCAAAATTTTGTTATTCTCGATATTTTTGACCAAAAAAAAATGCACTTTTATTTGAGTGTCAATGTATTTAGCACGAAAGTACCAATTGGGGACACTATATTTTACGTCTCCAACTGGAGACGAGACCGCCAGTGAAAAGGGAGTACCTTCATTTCTCGGTTATTTCAAGACCCAGAGTATTGGTCCGGCCCCAGGAATCGAACCTGCGACCTCTTGCTCTGCAGTCAACACGCTCTACCGACTGAGCTAACACTGCCGCGGTTAACTAGATGGATTGTACTAAAACAATTATTCCTCATGCCCTCATGGCCTCTGAGTCAATAGTCCATTCGGCCTTCCGCCTCATAGGCTATTGACTCAGAGCCCGTTCAGCCTTGTTAAATAACCCACACATGATGTGGACAATAGCTAGGGTGCTCACTCGGCTACATTTTTATACCATCCTAGTTCCCTGAGTAAGTTATGTACCTGCAGAAAGGTTCTTCTGTTTACACCAGCTCTCGTTACGTATAGAAAAAGCTGCTTGTAGGATACATTGTTCTCATCAAGCTCTGATTGAACGTGGCTGAAGATATCGATAGTATACCAGTCATCGTCAGACTCAGAATCTACGCATGTTGCTTGTTCAGCCAACGAGACATTGTCTGACATAGCTGCAGAAAAGGCTAGAGGAAAAAAGAGGAAAATACTATTACTCTGTATATCAGCAGAAAGTAGGCATTTAACGTAAGAGAAGCTTAAAACGATAAGCCTAAAACGATAACGAAGCCTAAAAGACAAAGAGGAGTTTCCATTTTTGATGTGGCATGGACGCTACATTTTTGACACCTTTCTTTGTCATTGATGCGTATCAACACTGAGGTTACCCGCGCCGCTCGCCCCACAGGCCATAGATGCTGAGAGGATTCGTGGCTTAAACCTTAATTAGCAAACACTAAATTCCCTTGCTGTTTACATTAAAAAACCCGCTACAAAAAGGTTTCTGAGCTTACGATGTCAGACTAAAAAAGACCAATGCATGGCTTTAGCTTTGCCTTCCAAGGACGCCATCCGCTGAAGCGGCGACAAGGTTATTAGCAGAGCCAGCATGATCATGATTTTATCGTTGTTTTCTGTTGAACCACAGATAAAACTGCAAAACAGAACAACTGTTTAACAACACCATCACTGGCATTATAGCTTGAAAGACAAATAACTTCTTATACTAAATCTACCTTAGTTTATAGGTCCTGGATAATGTCGTTGTTAAGTGATATTAATCGCTGGTAAAAATGGTAGGTAATTGACAGGGAGAGTCTTAAAACTACTTTCATCTCGTACCCAGGCCTTTTAGAAATTACTTCGTACTATTGATAAAAAGCCTCAGAGAAACATAAATGGATACATTAATGAATGAAAGAAAAAGATATGTGAAAAATGTAATACTTTGGCAGCAGGTAGACGATTTTCATGACGAACACGTTAGCTATTTTAAATATATAATTATTGAGCTAATAGGGGTGTTCAAAAATAAACTTTGAACAATATGACGTTTTCCTACAACTGTCAGAGTGTGTAATCGTAGCTCATTGATACGTCTTAATATTGAGTCTTTAGGAATGTTACAAAGAAAACTGGATTATCTTTTAAAAATAAAAATGGCAAAGCAATCCCTAGAAAATGGTCTTTTGGAATGTAACTTTCGTAATGGAAACGATTTTTAAAGCAAATTTTAGATTTGCAATGTAAGCGATTTTCAAGTTCAGGCGGAACTGGATTATCTTCAAAAAAAAATTGCAAAGCAATCCCTAGAAAATGGTCTTTTGGTATGTAACTTACGTAATGTAAACGATTTTTAAAGCGAATCTCAATTTTGCGATTTAAGTGATTTTCAAGTTCCCTTTAAGAACAGCTACGAAGGTACCTCGAGTAAGGAAAAACTCATGCATAAGCATACTCAAGTAGCGTGTGAACTCGAACCGAGTAATCTAATTGTTGATTAAGCCGAAGTCAGGTCCAAGACATTCCAAAGGTTACCTATTACGGGAGCAGATGAAGTGTATGTGTGAACATTCTTCGATCCTATCATCTGTTTCAAGCCGGGTTTGGTACTGTTCTCTGATTTCAGGCTTTGGCCTCCTCACGTATAGAGACAAACGATCTTATTGCTTTAATTTATAGAGCTTGGCACATATTATCCCTTTTTTGATTGTATGCTAGTTCATCCGCTGTTACGCAATCGTTTCGAAGCACTAACTCACCGAAGAAATCTTAAGTTTTTAACCGGAAGAAGTAATATCGTTTATGAAATATATAAATTTCTATAGGCTCTCGCAGGCTCCACTATTAAAACAAAGAAGCTTTCTGGTGTGGTGCATTAGCTAAAGAAACACAGTTTTTTGTAAGTCAAATCGATATCTAAAATTGAATTTAAGATTATGGTGTACAATGTTTAAGTGGTAAAGATAGTAATGTCTTCAAGGTATAGTTTTTAAAAGCAACGAAAAGAAAGAAATAGAGATGACAATAGTTTGTCAGTCGGTGGAAACTCCAACTAAGAATGAAACCGAAAGCTTTAAATTTCCCGTCGCTTATACCGCAGACATGATTTACTCCATGTATTCTTTCCCATGGCCAACACGGGTCATTTCCCCTGCATGATATCAGACTAGGGGATTCCCCAAGCAGTATGTTAAGAACCTTTCAGTAAAAAGGTTAACTAGTGCTTTTGAATGAAAGCTTGCTATTCGTCTATGAGGGAATGAATCCCTTTGAAAAAATGTTAAATTTATTGTTATATTTTATTTGTTAATCGAATTAACACGTATTTTTGTCTGATGAAAGCCTGATAATGGCTTCGTGAGTGTGAATTTGATGGCGTGACGCTGACAATTTGGTGAAAAGGAACTTTTGCACGCAACCACGATTACGTCGACATCGATTACACATCATCGATTACAGCTGTGAAAAAGGAAAAAGAGCTTTAATATACTGTCTTCCTGTACATAAATATTAACAAGCTGCTATATACAGTGTATGTCAAATGTTATGGAAATTTTTTCTTGCCCCTAAAAGTTCGGCCAGCGTTTGAATAGTAAGACACTTACGTAAATATTATTCTTTTCTTTACCAATGTTTCGCTATCTGTTGTCTCTTGATGTGAAAGCGATGACTTTTCGATGATATAAGTTTACTCAGTGATTCGAGTTCGTCTGGTAATTGCCGAGGGATCCAGACAAAACTCACCAGTACTGCACTAAGAAATACATAGAGCCATAAAAGTGCCGGGGAATCCCCGAGGGATGACGTGGATAATATTTTAGCTTGTTTGATTCGATTTTTCCCCCTTTCTTTCTTTCTTTCTTTCTTTTTTTTTCCCCCTTTTGTGTTAATAGTGAAATCCTTTTGACATAATGTACCTACATGAGACTCATAATCGATTTAGAGAAACACACATTATCAAAGCTAAATCCCAAAACATGCGCCACGATTGAACTTTGATAAAGACGTCTTCCCCAGAGATTTGACTTATGTTATGCTAGTTATCTTCCTGTATTTGACAAAGAGTAAAATTTACCCTGGCTCTGGGGGTACGTTCTCAAAATATCTAGGGTGAAACAAATCCCTACTCACGGCTTGATAAATTTCCTGGGACCTCTAGTCAATCGAGCAACATTTGCTAGGCGAGCTTGCCCTTGCACACGAAGGAAATAAGACAAAAAGTATATATGGCATCCAATGTACGCAATGAACTTTTACTTTACGAACCGATTGGCTCATAAAGCGCCTGTCAAGCAAGCAAATTTGTATTCAGACCACTGCTTTTCAGGAAATTGAAAATACAAAGTTCATTACAAAAGATTGAAAAGTGAAAGCTTTCATATTTTCAAAGCTGGGAAAAAACCCTTAAGAGACCTGTTGTTCCGTGTCACGACTTCCTCTCATACAGAACAGGTTTTTAATAATGAAAAGTCCCTCAAGGTACGAAACCTGTTTAAACAGGAAGTCATTGATGAATAGATGCTATTTCGGTAGAGATTAAGAATGCCAGCAGAGCATGAAATAGCCATTATAAAAGCAGAAGCTGCAACAGAGTTCTACGCAGTACCAATAAACGTTGCCGCTACAAGGTGCTGTCACTCCACGGAGTTAAAAAACGAACTAAATGGGTAAGTATAAATTTGAAATAAAATTTCTGCAAGTATTCCAGGTTGCTGGAAAAATTACGCTCGAAGACTGAGGCAAAAGGTTTGCAGATGACTCAAGAAAAGGGTTTTGACAGAGTAATTAATCTAAGCGCGTTTGTTTGCATATATTTTATATTTCATTTTATGTACATAATTATTTCTCGGTAAGATTATATTATCCTATACTTTTGTTATCTTAACCGGGCTCGTACGTAGTCACGTGCGTAGGCCCCAAAATGTAAATGTAGGAAATAAATAAATTTAAGCAAAGAGAAAAGAAGCTCGTTAGATAAAAAAGAGAAACAGTTTCTCGTTCGAGAAGATATAAATATTTGAAACTTTGGGCAACATTTTCCCTCGATTAATTGATTATTTTCTTCGATTCTGAGCTATTTGTGATTATTTATTGTTGTAAACAGGACTAGAGAAAGATGAAGATTATAAAACAGAAGTCCAGATCAGCGGCCGCTATAAAATCCTCAGTGGTACCCCACCATCTCATCCTATTCTGATTGAACACTCCTGTTTAATGACACCCGGAAATGAGTGGGATATGGAGGTTAAATGTCGCCCCATATTACAAGGAGCCCAAGGTGTGTCCAATCAGGAAAATAACTGGAGAAGCTTGATGGTAGTTTACCCCGAAGCTGAAGTGAAATTAAAACACAATGACATCGAAGTCACTTTGCCGTCTCTGCAGGAGGACGTCGAGATCGCTGCGTTCGGAAGACCAGGAAAAGATGACAAGAAAAGAATGCAAATGGCGATCTTTGCTAAACGACCAAAACAAGGAAGAGACTGGAAGATTTGGGTTTATCTTGTAGATGATACAAGTCCAGCCTGTGAGGTATAGTGTGCTATTATGCTTATTTATTTGTTTGTTTGTTTAAAATGTTACCGCATTTCGTTACTCTATGATCATGATTTTATCGCCTTAGCGAGCCAGCCAGCCATTGATCACTCCCTTCCGGCAAAGGCGCTAAAGAGCTTTAATACCGCTAACCAATGTAATGCAAAACGATAATGCCAAGAGCACAATTTATTAATTCAAGTTATTAACATACACTGATACGAAAACTGACTTCTACGTTTTATTTCTTTTCCTCGTATAAAACAGAAAATGTTTCAGGATGAAGATGAAAAGGGAAACAGACTACTGACACCACTTGCTGGGATATTTGTGTCCAACAGCAATAAAGACATCACAATTGAACTCAGCAAACTGGAGCCTGGATGGAAAATCAAAGGAAGCAATGTAAAGGTACCAAAGGGGAATTTGATTGTCAACAGTTCCCTTCACGATACTGATTAAAATCCCACGCTTGTTATCCGCTGCATGTTTGGATTAGTTGGTAGAGTTCTAGTCTCTATAGCGGAGATGACTGGACCAATTTCCAGTACCAGTATCAGTACCAGTACAAGTAGAGTGGTAGTGGTAGTGGTAGTGGTAGTGGTAGTGGTAGTGGTAGTGGTAGTGGTAGTGGTAGTGGTAGTGGTAGTGGTAGTGGTAGTGGTAGTGGTAGTGGTAGTAGTAGTAGTAGTAGTAGTAGCATTAGTAGATCTTGTTTTTAAATAAATTCCACTTCACTTTCCTTTTTAGACTATCAAATCAACTCATGCATGGAATTCCTCAGGGAACTCCGTAGATTTTCCACGTTGCTATTTCGAAATAAGTCACGAGAATAGTGCCAAGCATTCACTCTTCTGTGGAATAGAAGCTTCTCACGAAGGAGACAGTGCACAAGCAGAAGTTGTGGCGTATTTTGAACGAGTAAGTGTTGACAGAAAATAATTACTATAATTGCAACAATTTCGCCTGACTTGCCATAAATGCGCTGATAAATCTTATACTTACTTCTGTTGCTCTCCATCGAAGAAAAATATCAATGCAAGAGTATATTTAACCAAGCCTTAGGTAACCGCTGAACTTTTTCATCTTCGTTTTATAGGAAAGTGGTCAGAAAATCGTCCAGCCCTCTAACAATTCTCGCAAACTGAGTAATAAGTGGAACTTTGTTTCAAAAGGTAAACAGAAAATAATGTATAATCACTTTGAAGTACGATGTAACTCAGAGACCAAGAGGAGCTAAAAAAGACCTCTGCAAAATACATATCTCTTTTGACCTGTGTAATCTATTTTCATATTGTAGTCTAGTTTTTCTCAACTTTTTATATGAACTTTCAAATTTCTTAATTATTTTTCTCACAGAGATTACCGCCAGGTTGCCATTTCATGATGTTTTGACTCTGCTTTGTGCACTTTTAGCTTCTGGCCTCAATACCACACACGTTACAGGTAAGCTTGCTTTATAATTTTCAATATTAAATATACGATGCCATAAACGTGTTTTGGATCGGATATCCTATTAAAGCGCCTGGTAGTAATAAACGATGCCATTGTATAAAACAAATACGGGAACCATACGTTTGCTGAGATTGCTTGCTTGTTTCTTGAAAGACAATCACAGAAGTGTAAGTAAACCCTTTCAAAAACTTGAAAATCGTTTACATGCGTCAGGAAGCATCAAAAGATACCCTGGCTCTCTATATAACAGCAAATACAATTCTTTTCATTTCACTTACAGCAAGCACAACAATCTCAATATTTTTGTTTTAAATTTTAACAGGATCAAATTCAACTTATCAGCAATTTACGACAAAGAAGGATTTTAAAGATTTTACCAATTCCAAGCCGCCTTACAACTTCATTAGAATGCCTCGTTCCGGGGCGCTTGTAAAGCGCCGGAAAGCAGGATCCACCAGCTGCGGTTCAACTGTCGCACAAGATCATGCACATTATGCAACTGCAAGAAAGCCAAACGCCTCGGAACGAGGAAATGCGTTACAGTTATTCCAAAAACAACATTCTCAAGAAGTCTACTAGAAGAGTAAACAAGAAACAAGAAAAAAGCCGAATGGACAAGAAAAAAGGAAAGAAAAATAATAATGATGATCAATTAACGCCGATGAGACCGATAGTTTAAGTATTTACTGTTCGACTAAACTAAAGCTTTTAGTGACCAAATCATAAATTAGTTATTCTCACAATTTTGTCATTAAACTATACAAGTACCAAATTTAGTTTAATTTTTCCTAAGAGACCGTTACTCGATTAGATTTTTATTTATTTAATTTTTTTTTGACCGCTTACTATGCTGTTTGTTGTTTAACGAAATCTAGCTGACTGGCCTGGCTCTATTGCGTTCATCAACATTCAACATGTTTCGTGGTTAGTTGAAATATTTAGTGATTAGAAATCGATAGAAATAATCAGTCAATATATTTCTTATTAATAAGTACTTTCACGTTCATGTTTTTAAAAGTTAGTTGAATATTTCATGGTTAGGGTGTAAAAGCACACACGAGTTATAAATAAAACCCAAAATTTTAGAGAACAAAAAATTGACTTTTTTTTCTTGTTGTCAGCAATATATATGTTTTCTTTTGTTTTTGTTTATTTCTTTGTTTTTTCATTGTTTTGGCGGATTAGCCGTCTATGCACAAGTATGTCTAAAAAAGTGTCACTGAAAACGCAACTTTCTGAAAACGCTCTCAATCTACAGAGTGGGAAGTTTTGAAAGCGCTCTTCTCCTGGGAAGAAAGTTCCTCGAAAGATGGTTAAGTGCACGGTTTTCTGGTCTAAGAACATGCAACTCGAGGTTACAAAATACTGTTGAGCCCTTACTACGAGATACAGTAATGAGAACACAAAATGTGACCCTAAGCAGTGCATAGGAATGTAAAATACAAAACGGACAAAAAAATAATCCTGGATTAACGTTAATCGGCCATTCAGGAACCGGGCCCTGTAGTAGTATGGACTTTTGGAGACGATGACGTCACAGTATCTGATCCCGGGAGGATAAAAATGGTTTTGCAACGAGCTAGTCTCCCACGCAGCCGTTTTTTCACAGAGTCACGTTTAGGATTGCCAACGTTTGGCTCTGAAAAGATTCTGCGTTATGATTCTCGTCGGTCTTCAAAGCCCGTTTTATATTTATGATACTACATTCGAGACCGAGATCGAATAATAATAATAATAATAAATAATTTATGTAGCGCTATTTAGCTACTCTTTCATAGCGCTTTACAATGATCAGGTTAACGTAGAACCTAAAAGCTAAAATACCGTGATAAATTAGTTACAAAGCTTAAAAAATATATATGCATTATACAAAAAATGAAAGTTAAAAATGTAAGGTCTAAAAACACCAAGATAAAATCACAGATAAAAAAAAAGAGAGAAAACAAAAAAACCGCCTATTAAAAACAAAAGTTAAAAGCCATAGGCTTCTTTAAAAAGATAAGTCTTCAAATGTCTTTAAAAATAGCGATTGATGGAGATTTACGAATGCTAAGAGACAAGTTATTCTATTGCCTTGGCGCAGCAATGCTGAACGCCCGATCTCCATAAGTCTTTAGTTTAGCCAGTGGCACAGTGAACAGTTCTTGCCCACTGGAGCGTGTATAGTAAAGGCCGAGAGCACTTACAATGGCTCAGGAGACTAGAAATGTAAGAGGGCGCTTTGCCATTAAGTGCTTTATAGACTAATAACAGGAGCCTAAAAATAAAACGTGAATGTACGGGGAGCCAGTGTAGCTTGAACATTATTGGGGTAATCGAATCATACTTCCTTGTTAACGTGACAATGCAAGCTGCCGTATTCTGAACACGCTGTAATCTACAAACTAAGTATTTTGGAATACCATATAGAAGTGAGTTACAGAAGTCAAGCTTAGAACTAATAAAAGCATGGATGAGAATTTGAGCACAGTCCTGGGTGAGATATTTGCGAATCTTTGATATATTCCTGAGAACATAATTTGCGTAACTACATAATTATCTTTTTTACATGTTGTTCCGTGCAAAAGCAATTGTCCATGATGACTCCTAGGTTACGTACAGACAAATTAGGCGCAATGAACTCATCTCCAACCCGAACATATTCAAGATTTGGTCTATTTCGAAATTTGGAGCTAATGACGATAAGTTCAGTTTTGTCTTGATTAAGTTTCAATAGGTTTTTGCACATCCAAAGGTCAATTTCNAATGTAAGAGGGCGCTTTGCCATTAAGTGCTTTATAGACTAATAACAGGAGCCTAAAAATAAAACGTGAATGTACGGGGAGCCAGTGTAGCTTGAACATTATTGGGGTAATCGAATCATACTTCCTTGTTAACGTGACAATGCAAGCTGCCGTATTCTGAACACGCTGTAATCTACAAACTAAGTATTTTGGAATACCATATAGAAGTGAGTTACAGAAGTCAAGCTTAGAACTAATAAAAGCATGGATGAGAATTTGAGCACAGTCCTGGGTGAGATATTTGCGAATCTTTGATATATTCCTGAGAACATAATTTGCGTAACTACATAATTATCTTTTTTACATGTTGTTCCGTGCAAAAGCAATTGTCCATGATGACTCCTAGGTTACGTACAGACAAATTAGGCGCAATGAACTCATCTCCAACCCGAACATATTCAAGATTTGGTCTATTTCGAAATTTGGAGCTAATGACGATAAGTTCAGTTTTGTCTTGATTAAGTTTCAATAGGTTTTTGCACATCCAAAGGTCAATTTCTTTAACACAGCGCTCAACACTCAACTTTGCCTCATCAAGATCAGCACAGCAATCGGTATTGAAGGAAATATATAGTTGCGTGTCATCAGCGTACAGATGGTAATAGTAAGTCATGCTTTTTGATGATATCAGCAAACGGCGCAGTATAGACAAGGTACAGCAGTGGGCCCAATACACACCCCTGAGGCACCCCACGCAACAATGGTCGCCTTGATGACATGCCCTCTTCTACATTAACAAACTGTTGGCGGGAGGTTAAGTAGGACTTAAACCAGGCCAATGCAGTTCCCTTCACCCCAAAACGGTTTTCAACCAGCTTTGCCTGCGTGGCAGGCGTTTGAAAGCGAAGGAAAAGGGAGTTTTAGGTGCGAGAGAAAAACGAGGAGCGCGCGAGGAGGGAGGGAGGGAAACGCCTGCCAGGAGACCATTGTTTTTCTTTTTTTTACCATCAACCAAGCGAATGTCAAAATCTTGATTGGTCCGTCTTGAAAACATGTCAATCACAGCCTTAATACCTTAATCTGATTGGCTGAAATCAACATCACGCTACTGAGTAACTTGATCGATCTTTCAGTAATCATTTAAAAATATCTTGTTAGTGAGGCGGAATGAGATTTCTGTATGGAATTCATCGTTTTAGAACGATTAGAAACTGAAGGCATCTATTTCAGCTTGAAAGGAGAATAGAAAAAAGGAGTGAAAAGACTCGTGTGAAGGAAAAGACCTGTCAGTTAGATGAGTTTTGCTGACTGGTTTTGAGAAGTGTTGTCTCCCAACGGCTTGTTTTACTCACAAGAAGAAAGAAAAATTATGCTGCCTGTGATCTTGTTATCTGCTGTTTGACCTCAGACGCCTACCACGCAGGCTACGCTTTATCAACGACCAGATCGTTGAAGACGAAGCGATCTATAATCGTTAGCGATTTTTGGTTTGAGGACTTCTTCTCGCTGGTTATAGACGTTATAAAGCCTCCAGGAATTTACTTTAATAATAAATGTGATTGCAGAATGAGCCTTATTGTAGATCTTTGGAGTTCAGCTCTTCTTTCCCTGCTACTAGCGCATCGCGTCCAGACTTATTTGACAGCTAATCGTTTACAGTTGCGTTATTTTTGCATACATAATTAGTAGGCGGGATGGCGAAAACAATGGTTTCCTGGCAGGCGTTTCCCTCCCCCACTCCCTCCTCGGGCGACCTTCGCGTTTCCCTCGCGCCCAAAACCCGCTTTCCCTTCCCTTTAAAACGCCTGCCACGCAGGCTACAACCAGGTTAGAAATAAACTTTAAATTTGAGATTGGCCGATAGTTTGTGAACTGCTTGAAGTCAGCAGTTGGTTTCTTAAATGTAGGTGAAAGAGAAGTATTCTTTAGGGCATTAGGCATAAAACCAGTTGTCAATGACAAATTAACCATCCTGGTAACAGTAGGTAGGAGTACAAGGAAGCAATCCTTAAGTAGTGATGCCGGCAGAGGATCAAGACAACAGGACTTGCTTAAAGGCTTATAAGCAAATTGCCTGACGTCTTCTTGACTGACCTCATGAATTTTATTTAATTCGGCAGCGTTGGTAAACAATTCATTATCATCCGCTAGCGATAGATCTCTGTTTCTTGCCACAAGGGCAGTGTGAATCTTTTCAACTTTGGAAGTGAAAAAGTCAGCAAATGAATCAGCAAGTAAAGCATTGCTAAGAGAAGGTGGATATCGCGTCTCATGAGATTTCTGCAAAAGCTTGTTTACAGTTCTAAACAGCACTATTTGATCTGAGGAATGCTCATTAATTAATAATGTATAATAAGTAGATTTCAGTGAACTAATCAACTCGTTGACGTTTAATGCAGTGCAACCACAGTCGTTACAAAAAAAAAGATGATGTATTGCAAATTAGATAGGTACTCTGGGTGCCTGACAGCTTCCATTCCCGGATTTCGGTTTCGGTCAAGTCTTTATATATAGTGACACACCAGAAAAGCCTCTGCACGAAAGCGCTATTGCTTTGATAAAGACGAACCAATTGCGCGCCATTGGCTCCTAAGACCGCCTAATGGGGACTTTGACTCTAACAGACGCTACAGCTGGTTGACAAGAATAGCTAGGGCACCACAGGAAATAATATTTCAAACTGCGTTGCTTATAGAAGGATAACAATGCACTTTGTTCTTGCGGTGGCAAAAAATGCTGAATGTTTTGTGACAGTACCGACGGAAAGTATCAGCCAAAGGGAACGTTTGACGAACGAGGGTGATTTGGAGCAAGGTAAACAACTGATATGTTTAATTTCATGGTCGCAAACTATGAGTTCTGGTGATCTGTTTCTGGGATAACGCTGTCGTTATAGTTTTACTGTGTGTAGAACTGAATCGTTAGTGGAATCAGTGGGTATCCCAAATTGTACGAAAAATGTTAGCAATGTCAGCTTACATTATTGCAAATCAGGTTTCACATGGAAATTTTTCAACATAATTAGGACAAAAGCACTAAGACCATTTCTACCATTTCTTCACGTGTCAGAGTCCATATGATCACCATACTGCGAGCAGTGGTTTGTCCAGGCCGGAAGCTACGTTACACGAAGGGAGAAAACCCACTGCGAGCGACCGTTTGCTTCTGCATCGAGCATGCGCGTCCACGTGACGCCAAGGCCAAATGACGTCATTTCTCTTGTTTTGCAAAAAACATTAAAGAACTTTAAATTTCCACTACGCGACTGCAACGAGAACGACAACAAAACAATAGGTTTAATAAGCAAAACAAAAACTTTGAATGTGCATTACACTTTTTGTACATTTCTCTGCCGTTTTTGCACGACCAGAACGCGAAAATGCCTTTTTTTTTCGTGGAGGACATAAATAAGCAACGACGAAATTTTATTTTTCTTTCTGAACTTGGATATGGTCCCTAGGAATCCAACTCCAGTTGGTTTCACCTATCTTTGACGAAGTAGGTAGGAAAAATCGCGGTAAAGACTGAAAAAGCGCAAATTCACAGCAGGTTCCCGCTAACGCAGCATTTATAAGCGTAAACCAATGCGCGAGTCTTGAGTTTTTTTTTGAACAGGTTTCACCGGTTCAAAGTTAATTCATTCGTCCATGGCAAAGGACGGTGGCTTGATCAGAGAGGCAAGCGTTTTCTCGCAGTGGTTTATCTCCTTTCAAAGTAGCGTACCGTCCGGCCCGGAGAAACCACTGCTCGCAGGGTACATTATCACTGTTGGAGACGTCCTCTCTGGTTGAGAGACCAATTTGTGCCGGCATCCTAGATTCAGTAGGCAGTGGAAGGTTTGGGAAGATTGTCGTAAGCATGTGGTAGATCACAATAAACAGCTGGATCTCAAAAAGGTACACATAATTTATTTGTCTTCTACAAACCCCGATTATCATCAACTA